CAAGATCAAGCGAGCGCCATAGAGGATACAGCCCACCGACGTTGTAACAAGTGCAAGCAGGCTTGTCCGGGGTTCGAAGCCCACTTTTGGAGGTAAGTTGACCACTCGCTGTTATCTTATCCCTCCCTGTCCACAGCTGGAGAGCCTCTACGCTTCTTGGTATTCACCAAGAGTTGATTGATTGATTGATTGATTGATTGATTGTTGCCCAAGAGTCTGCTGCAGTATGTGTTAAGGATGTTATGTGGGGGGGATAAGTTACCGCTGTTGTTTAAGATTCGCTACTTGGAACCAAAAGTTGCAAGTAGCACGGGCTATGGTGAGCCCGTAGTCTGTCTTGTATATAATAAGTTACCGTAGTCTTCCTTGTTGACTCTTCCCTACAAGTCCTGAGGGGGGAAGGGGGGGCTATATGCATTTCACACTAAGATGAAATAAGGTTCTAAACATACTTCAAGTATGTTTAGTATGTAAACATACTTCAAGTATGTTTAGTATGTAAACATACTTCAAGTATGTTTCAACTAAACACCATCAAGATGGTGTTCAGTGTAGTGTATGGTGTTCAGTAGAGTGTATGGTGTTCACTACAAGTGAACACCATATACTCTGGTGTTCAGTGTACTGTATGGTGTTCACTGTATGGTGTTCAGTGTAGTGTACGGTGTTCACTGTGAGGCTGAGTGTTGTGTCCGATGGTGTCTGAGACTGAGCCAATGAGCCGGTGGTCTGAGGAGGACTTTAAGACACATTAACCGGAGGAATTTGACTACAAATTATGGTCTTGGTATTTTAATCCACATTTGTGGACCACTGAGCGGGTTGTACACCACTCGCATACATTCTTCACCCCAAGAGAACCTGTGGGGGTGCAGGTGTGTGGGGTGCAGGTGTGTGGGGTGCAGGTCTGTGGGGTGCAGGTCTGTGGTTCTGCAGGTCTGGGGCTTTGCAAGTCTGTGAGGTGCAGGTCTGTGGTTCTGCAGGTCTGGGGCTTTGCAAGTCTGTGAGGTGCAGGTCTGTGGTTCTGCAGGTCTGGGGCTTTGCAAGTCTGTGAGGTGCAGGTCTGTGGTTCTGCAGGTCTGGGGCTTTGCAAGTCTGTGAGGTGCAGGTCTGTGGTTCTGCAGGTCTGTGGCTCTGCAGGTCTGTGGCTCTGCAGGTGTGTGGGGTGCAGGTCTGTGTGGCACAGGTCTGTGGGGGTGGAGGGTTTATGTTCACTAGCAGCTATAGGATGTCAATTAACCCTACTAATTACTAATTACTAATTACTGATAATTTGACGAAGAGGAAATAATCACTTGGGTGATTTTTTTTATTGCATCTTTATTGATTTAAGCTTCCGCCATCTTTGTGAACCTTTGTTGGTCTATGTCAGACTTCTGGAAAGTCTGACCTCGTGACAGCCTCTGGAAAGTCTTAACTAGAGGTAACTGTTGGATAGCGTGGGAGGACCAGGCTGAGGGTCTAAGGGGAAAGGGGGGGGTGTAAGACAATAGTATACTTGGGTAGGTAGGAGAGAATGGGTAGAGAAGGAGGAGGAGGAATGGAATAAATTGAGGACGTTCGTCGGTATTGGGAGGGTGGGAAAGGGGAAGCGAGAGGGAGGGGGGGTGGAAGGGGGGTGGGGAGGAGTTGTTCGGATGGCCGTTGATCAGGAAATGTAGTAATTGGGGTGGGAAAGGGTGAAGGAGTGGTGGGTAAGTGTGTGGGTTGCTGTGGGAAAGGGTGGAGGAGGGGTGGGTAAGTGTGTGGGTTACTGTGGGAAAGGGTGGGTCCGGTGTGGGAAAGGGTGGAGGAGGCGTGGGTAAGTGTGTGGGTTACTGTGGGAAAGGGTGGAGGAGGGGTGGGTAAGTGTGTGGGTTACTGTGGGAAAGGGTGGGTCCGGTGAGGGAACGGGTGGAGGAGGGGTGGGTAAGTGTGTGGGTTACTGTGGGAAAGGGTAGGTCCAGTGTGGGAAAGGGTGGAGGAGGGGTGGGTAAGTCTGTGGGTTACTGTGGGAAAGGGTAGGTCCAGTGTGGGAAAGGGTGGAGGAGGGGTGGGTAAGTGTGTGGGTTGCTGTGGGAAAGGGTGGGTCCAGTGTGGGAAAGGGTGGAGGAGGCGTGGGTAAGTGTGTGGGTTGCTGTGGGACAGGGTGGGTCCGGTGTGGGAAAGGGTGGAGGAGGGGTGGGTAAGTGTGTGGGTTGCTGTGGGAAAGGGTGGGTCCAGTGTGGGAAAGGGTGGAGGAGGCGTGGGTAAGTGTGTGGGTTGTTGTGGGAAAGGGTGGGTCCGGTGTGGGAAAGGGTGGAGGAGGGATGGGTAAATGTTTCTTCCGGAATGGGTAAATATGGGTTATTCGGGTCCGTACCATAAACATACGAAGCCAAACACCTCCACCCAACCTATTGCAGCCGACGCTTAGATAACGTCAAAATCACGGTGCTTAAATTGGTACTAACGCCTCATCTTTTTAACGAATTCGTCAGTTCCGTAAAGCATGCGACGTATTAATCTGCCTCTCCTTGTATTATACCGAGATATTCACTGTAATATTCATGGTGACCAGAGAGCACATGGCTTACCTGAACCTTACCTGAACCTTACCTGAACCTCAGGGTCTGGTCACCCACACAAGTGCATACAAACCATAGCACCAACAGTCGAGTATATCACAGCAACACTTGCGCTGAGAAGGAACAAGTGGGTGGGAGGGAGAGAGAGGGAGAGAGAGAGAGAGAGAGGAACAAATAGATGGATGGGAGAGAGAGGAACAAGTGGGTGGGTGGGAGGAACCAGTGGGTGGGAGGGAGGAACCAGTGGGTGGGAGAGGAACCAGTAGGTGGGAGAGAGGATGAGAGGTGGGAGTGTTCCCACGGTGAGTATCGCTCCAGCAGTGGTGGGTCGCCCCGGGCTGTTGACTAAGCCCCAGGTCGCCACGCTCTCTTACTCACCTCTTCCTGCGACATCCACTCACTCTACCTCAAGTCCTGGCCTTTCTCCATCTCTCCTACCTCAAGTCCTGGCCTTTCTCCATCTCTCCTACCTCAAGTCCTGGCCTTTCTCCATCTCTCCTATCTCAAGTCCTGGCCTTTCTCCACCTCCCACCTTAATACCTCGCTTTTACGACGGAATCCACCACTCCGTAAAAAATGCGACGTTTCGGACTAAACATTCAAGCAGATTCCCACTATCTTGAGGTTATCTTGAGATAATTTCGGGGCTTTATTGTCCCCGCGGCCCGGTCCTCGACCAGGCTTCCACCCCCAGGAAGCAGCCCGTGACAGCTGACTAACATCCAGGTACCTATTTTACTGCTAGGTAACAGGGGCATAGGCTGAAAGAAACTCTGCCCATTGTTTCTCGCCGGCGCCTGGGATCGAACCCGGGACCACAGGATCACAATTCCAGCGTGCTGTCCGCTCGCTCCACTACGTAAGAAATACAACTGTTTTGGGCGAACTGTGAACTGTCAGGGGGAAGCGACAAGCCATTACGACTATATAGCACTGGGAAAGGGTCAGGAGAAGGATTTGGGATGGGACGGGGGAAAGGAATGGTGCCCAACCACTTGTGGACGGTCGGGGATTGAACGTCGACCCGCATGAAGCGAGACCGTCGCTCTACCGTTTAGCCCCAAGTGGTTGAAGATTTGGGCGAGAATTACGGTTATTTAGATGGGAATATGACTCTTGTCTCCTGCTCTCGTCCCTTTCATTCATGTATAAAGATGCGGCCACTGGTGGTCAGGGCCAGATTCACGAAACAGTTACGCAAGTACTTACGAACCTGTACATCTTTCCTTAATCTTTTGGCAGCTTTGGTTATATTTATTAAACAGTTTACAAGCATGTAAACTTGCCAATCAACTGTTCTTATTGTTATAAACAGCCTCCCCGCCAAACACACAGCGAAACTACGACGTTGCTACAACGTTCGAACAAGATATAACACCTCCTAACAAGTTATAACAACTAATATAACAAGTTGTAACAACGTTCTAATACGTCAAAAACACGTTAAGCCAAGATGTAACAACTTTATTACAAGTTGTAACAAGCGGAAAATAGGGTCAGTTACGGTTTGTGTTTCCAGGGCTCCTGGTGCTTCGGGGCTCATTAACTGTTTAATATTTGTAAACAAAGCCGCCAAAGATTGAGAACAGATGGACAGGTTCGTAAGTGCTTGCGTAACTGCTTCGTGAATCTGCCCCCTGGTGTGCAGCATGGCCACTATTGCAGATCTGAGACCAGTTCTCTACTGGTATTCCGAGTTCACTAGTGGTGACCTGAGACCAGTTCTCTACTGGTATTCCGAGTTCACTAGTGGTGACCTGAGACCAGTTCTCTAGTGGTGACCTGAGACCAGTTCACTAGTGGTGACCTGAGACCAGTTCTCTAGTGGTGACCTGGGACCAGTTCACTATACTGGTGGTGGACCGAACGTGTGATACATTACCACCACCAACAACTTTTACCGAACACTGAAATGTGGCATATACCATCCGTAGAGTTTACAAGACAATAGAAAAAATTGCAAGTAGTTTGCAAATACTTTATTCACTCTCGTGTTCTTAAGGACACCCTCATAATGCACTTAAAGCTCCCAAGTGCAAGCTTTTGATCATATATTCTTGCATAACTATAAACGCTGATGTATCTATGTTAATGAAATAAATAAATCTCTATTCTATAGAGATAGAATTCTATCAGAATTCTAAGGTTTCACGAGCATTGTGTCCGCGTTGAAGGCTCAGTTCAGTCGGCGAGAGAACGGACTGCAGGAGCATATATAAGTTCTATGTGAACAATACCTGTACACAGAGTACTTGTGTCAGGTTAAACACCTGGCTAATCTCAACACTAACACACCTGGCTGCACTACAACTAGCTACCACTACAACAAAGAGGAGTAGGGAGAGTAATTTTCTGTGATTTAAAATATGTTCTTCAAGCACTTAGAACCTCATAATAGCAATTATAAATAACCCATTCGCTGCACAAAATGTATGAAAAGGGGGTTAATAAGATTGCAGATGTTTGGAAAGAGAAAAGGGGGTAGTGACTTCCGGAAAGGGTCGTGATGATGGATTTTGCAGTGAAAAGAAGTGAGAAATTATCTG